TGGAGCCCTCCCGGTTGATGGTCAGTGGATAGTAGACACCTGTCAGGAATGAGCTAGACAGTGATTGGTCCTGCCGCGAGGGCAGGGGACGGGACTTGATGACCTCGCGAAGTCCCTTCCAGGTCCCTCAAGGCAGCTACCCAAGGGTATGTCTACACTACCACCCTACTTCGAACTAGGGTGGTTAGTGTAGGCAACCGGAGTTGCAAATGAAGCCCGGGATTTGAATTTCCCGGGCTTCATTTGCATGTTGCCGGGCGCCGCCATTTTTAAATGTCTGCTAGTGCGGACTCCGTGCCCCGCGGCTACATGCGGCACGAACTAGGTGGTTCGGATTAGGCTTCCTATTCCGAACTACCGGTACTCCTCGTCGAACTAGGGTGGTAGTGTAGACATACCCCAAGGGTTTAATGTCCCCCAGGGCTGGTGGACTCTCCCTCTCCAGTTTCCAAAAGTTCCCAACCCAAACCGCTGCGCAGGCCCCCGTGAGAGGTAGCTGGAGTGAGGCTGGCGGGGAGAGGTCTTCTCCCCACACGTAGCTATTGCAGGGGTAGCCCAGGGCGCCCACGCGGATCTCTGCTCCCCCAGCGTCAGGTCCCTTCCACATGCACCAGAATACACTGAAAGGCGTCTCGTGCGCTGTGCTTAGCCACGTCTTGTTACTCCTCGGTCTCCTTGCTTGGGACCACATGGACGTTTCTGAGGCCCATTCGGGTACCAGCAGAATTTCTCATTGCCATTCATGTGGGATGCTTACGATTGTCCAGGTAGGAGGATGGCCCTAAATCTGCGAGAATCAGGGCCAGCCTTGTCAGGACAACCCAGCCTTGTGTCCAGGGAAGAATTTGCACCCTGGTCTGACGGTTCGTTGGCAGGTTGCACCCTGGTCCGATGGTTCGTTGGCGGGTTGCACTCTGGTCTGACGGTTCGCTGGAGGATTGCACTCTGGTCTGATGGTTTGTTGGCGGGTTGCACCCTGGTCCGACGGTTCGCTGGAGGATTGCACTCTGGTCTGATGGTTTGTTGGCGGGTTGCACCCTGGTCCGACGGTTCGCTGGAGGATTGCACTCTGGTCTGATGGTTTGTTGGCGGGTTGCACCCTGGTCCGACGGTTCGCTGGAGGATTGCACTCTGGTCTGATGGTTTGTTGGCGGGTTGCACCCTGGTCCGACGGTTCGCTGGAGGATTGCACTCTGGTCTGATGGTTTGTTGGCGGGTTGCACCCTGGTCCGACGGTTCGCTGGAGGATTGCACTCTGGTCTGATGGTTTGTTGGCGGGTTGCACCCTGGTCCGACGGTTCGCTGGAGGATTGCACTCTGGTCTGATGGTTTGTTGGCGGGTTGCACCCTGGTCCGACGGTTCGCTGGAGGATTGCACTCTGGTCTGATGGTTTGTTGGCGGGTTGCACCCTGGTCCGACGGTTCGCTGGAGGATTGCACTCTGGTCTGATGGTTTGTTGGCGGGTTGCACCCTGGTCCGACGGTTCGCTGGAGGATTGCACTCTGGTCTGATGGTTTGTTGGCGGGTTGCACCCTGGTCCGACGGTTCGCTGGAGGATTGCACTCTGGTCTGATGGTTTGTTGGCGGGTTGCACCCTGGTCCGACGGTTCGCTGGAGGATTGCACTCTGGTCTGATGGTTTGTTGGCGGGTTGCACCCTGGTCCGACGGTTCGCTGGAGGGTTGCACCCTGGTCCGATGGTTCGTTGGTGGGTTGCATCCTGGTCCAATGGTTCGTTGGCAGGTTACTGTGTATTTCCCAGGAGTGATTCTTTCTGGGCAAGGCCGCACCGTTGCCACGCCAACGTTTGGGCTAGGTGGTTGTTTACTATTTCCTCAGAGTGGGGGCTTTTCAGAGATTTTTCAAGGTCCTCCTTTTGTAACTAGCTGTGTCTCCGAGCAGCGTTTGCCTCAGCGCTCTCATGGCAACGGCCCGTATTTTTGGGATGCTGTCTGTGGTGCTGAGGGACTGTTTCTGGGCAAGGCCGCACCGTTGCCACGCCAACGTTTGGGCTAGGTGGTTGTTTACTATTTCCTCAGAGTGGGGGCTTTTCAGAGATTTTTCAAGGTCCTCCTTTTGTAACTAGCTGTGTCTCCGAGCAGCGTTTGCCTCAGCGCTCTCATGGCAACGGCCCGTATTTTTGGGATGCTGTCTGTGGTGCTGAGGGACTGAAGTTAATTCCACGTGCCTGAGGCGTTCCTGACTCATTCCCCCTGCTTAGGCACTCTTTGGGCCTGGCTTGTGTGACCGTGGGCTCCAGAGGCGGGGGAGAGCCTCGCTTGGCGGCTGGTTGGGGGTGCTCCGTGGCTGGTGCGTGGGCCACGCTGGAGGCGTGTAGCAGTGTGTGCCCCTCTCAGGAGGCTGGCTAGGGCGTTCCCTCGGCATCCGACGGCAGCGGGCAGTCCGGGAGCAGAGCCAGGCCATTGCTGGGTTTGGGCCACGGCCATCAGGGGGCTCTGGCCTGGGCCTGGGGAAGTGAGGGAGGGGAGAAGGCAGAGGAGGGGCTCAGGAGTGGAAGAAAAGCAGCAGAGATGGAGGGGGAACAGCCGGCAAGGAGGTGGGCAGGAGAAATGGGCAAAAGGGGCGACAAAGCCGGTGGGGCGTCCAGGGGAGGGTGCTGCAGCCCCCAAGGTGAGTGGACGGCTGTGCTCCATTCCTGGGTGCTCTTCGCCAGCCTTGGCGCGGGAGAACAAGCGTGGGAGCCAGCGCCTCGCGTGTGTGTCCAGACCACGCTGCTTCCATGCCGCCGGGTCCCTCCCGGCCACGCTGAGCGCGTGTCCCCATCCCCGGGCCTCACCGGGGCAGCGGCCGGTTGCTGCTAATGGCTAATCTGGGCCCCCAGAAAGATCTCCACTTGTTTCGGGAGCCACAGGGCCGCTGGGGGGTCC